GGTTTAGAGCTTAATGTAATTGTCTAACATGCAAAAACAGCCCAAATTCGAATCCCAGTAAGGGTATGGTTAGCTGATGAGAGCTAAATAACTTGAAATAGATCTATACTAGTCTCCCTCCCACCCTCTCCTCTCTCTCTCCCTCCCACCCTCTCTCTCATCTCTCTCCTCTCCCTCTCCTCTCCCTCCCTCTCTCTTGACTGGCACATGGGCAAATCAGTCAGATATTGGCTAGGGGAAATAACAGCCCTTGAGTACCATGTTTCCCCAAAAATAAAACTGGGTCTTATTTTAATTTTTGCTCCAAAAATTGATTAGGACTTATTTTCTGGTTAGGACAACTAGGGCTTATTTTTGGGGGGGTACAGCATACACACACACACACACACACACACACACACACACACACATATGTGTGTGTCTGAAGGACAGAGAATGGAAGTAGTGATCTTCCTCCCATATTTGGGCATACCAGGGGTTGTGACTTTAAATATACACACACACACACACACACAGACATACATACATATATATATTGTGTTGCATTTGTGCTGATAAATAAATAAAGGGAGACTAGTATAGATCTATTTCAAGTTATTTAGCTCTCATCAGCTAACCATACCCTTACTGGGATTCGAATTTGGGCTGTTTTTGCATGTTAGACAATTACATTAAGCTCTAAACCTCCTTTAAAAGGGAAGCAGTATGCTCCTTCCCATATTTGGGCATACCAGGTACTTTGACAAAACACTTTATACACATACATACATACATACATACATACATACATACAATTTTTATTAAACATATCTCAACATTAAAAAAAACCCCACACAATTCCACTCATTACAGCGTTTCCGCATTGGTATCACTTGTATTAACATAGTTTCTAATTATATAGATTGCTATTCTACGTATTATATACTCATTTAAATTATAACAATATTTACACATATATACAGTACTCTCTCCTTTTAATATAAATCATACATAGTCCCTGTACAGTAGCTTTATGTCGATCTTCCAGCCAATTGTGCCATATATTCCAGATTTCATAAGATTCTGATTCTTCTCTATCTTTCAATTCCACGGCTAACCTATCCATCTCTGCACACTCAAGTACCTTTCTTATTATCATGAGATTCTCTTTCCAATTTTGAGCAATTCCAGGTTGCTTCACTCCTTGATTAGTTTCCATCCATTATTTCTTGTCCTGCCCTCTGGGGCTTTGGAGAATAAGTTGACCCCCCCCTTCTCTTCTTTGTGGCAGCCCCTCAAATATTGGAAGACTGCTATCATGTCCCTCCCCTAGTCCTCCTTTTCTCTAGACTGGCCATACTCAAATCCTGCAGCTGTTCTTCTATTCCTTTATCTTCCTTTTCCTGCAATAACCGTAAAAATTGGCTCGTGTACTATTGGACTGGTGTATCTTGGCATCTTTGCCGATAGGATCTAAGGTGTCCTATCTGTGTCTGAAACAAGGACTGTAGGAGAACACCAAATAGTTGACATCTTGATGAGGCAAGAGGTGAGTTTACACTGGCTTAAAATATCAACGTGTCTCCCTGACCTTCGCTTGGGTGGGTTTGAACAACTGTGACCCGTCAGGAAATGTCACGAGCAATAGAGATGCTGTTTGTCCTTTCCTTGAAAGTTTTCCGTATCCCCCCCCAGAAGAACCTTTTCTCTTCTCCAAGGAGAACAACGGCAGAGTTAGCCAGGTGGATGCTCAGGACAATTTTCTTCCCTTCCTCGGCTGCTTTCGGCAAGCATCTTTGATGCCGTGTGCCAGATTTCGAAAAACGCAATCCTTTTTATAGCAGCGATGCTTTCAAAAGCACCCACACATTTCTCTCTCTCTCCCCCCTCTCCCNAAGTTGTGAATGCTCCAACACTGGAAGTTCTTAAGAAGATGTTGGATATCCATTTGTCTAAAACAGTGTAGGGTTTCCTGTCTAAGCAGGGGGTTGGACTAGAAGACCTCCAAGGTCCCTTCAAACTCTTGTTATTATTCTTATTCTAACTGCTGAGAAGCTAGCTGGAGGTACAAAGGACGCCCCTGTTTCATTTACCCAGGATAATTTTTATTTATTTTATTTAGAAAATTTATATGGCTTCCAAACACTCTCCGCAATAACAGAAAAGGAGAGGAAGAGAGAAGAAGAGAAATGGAAGGAAGGAAGGAAGGAAGGAAGGGGAAAGGAGAGGAAGACGGGGAGGGATAGAAAGAGAAGGAGAGAGGGTAGGAAGGGGAAGAGGAAGAGAGAAGCAGGGGAGAGGTAGGGAAAGGGAAAGGAGAGGAAGAGAGGAAGAGAGAGATGGAAGGAAGAAAGGGGAAAGGAGAGGAAGGCGGGAAGGATAGAAAGAGAAGGAGAGAGAGTAGGAAGGAGAAGAAGAAGAGAGGAGCAGGGGAGAGGTATGGGAAGAAGGAAAGGGAAAGGAGAGGAAGAGAGGAGAAGAGAGATGGAAGGAAGGAAGGGGAAAGGAGAGGAAGGCGGGGAGGAAGGAAAAAGAGAAGGAGAGAGGGTAGGAAGGGGAAGAGGAAGAGAGGAGCAGGGAAGAGGTAAGAGAAGAAGGAAAGGGGAGGAAGAGAGGAGAAGAGAGATGGATGGAAGGAAGGGGAAAGGAGAGGAAAGCGGGGAGGGATAGAAAGAGAAGGAGAGAGGGTAGGAAGGAGAAGAAGAAGAGAGGAGCAGGGGAGAGGTATGGGAAGAAGGAAAGGGAAAGGAGAGTAAGAGAGGAGAAAAGAGATGGAAGGAAGGAAGGGGAAAGGAGAGGAAGGCGGGGAGGGATAGAAAGAGAAGGAGAGAGGGTAGGAAGGGGAAGAGGAAGAGAGCAACAGGGGAGAGGTAAGAGAAGAAAGAAAGGGAAAGGAGAGGAAGAGAGATGGAAGGAAGAAAGGGGAAAGGAGAGGAAGGAGGGGAGGGATAGAAAGAAAAGGAGAGAGGATAGGAAGGAGAAGAAGAAGAGAGGAGGAGGGGAGAAGTAAGGGAAGAAGGAAAGGGAAAGGAGAGGAAGAGAGCAGGAGAGAGATGGAAGGAAGGAAGGAGAAAGGAGAGGAAGGCAGGGAGGGATAGAAAGAGGAGGAGAGAGGGTAGGAAGGGGAAGAGGAAGAGAAGAGCAGGGGAGAGGTAAGGGAAGAAGGAAAGGGAAAGGAGAGGAAGAAAGAAGTAGAGAAGGGAGGGAGAGAGAAAAGGAAGAGAAAGCAGGGTGGTGAAATTACAAATAGGTGTACGGGATGTTAAGCAAAGCAACCTCAAGTGTATATACTTCAACTTTCTATATGGAAAGTAAATATGCAAAAGTGATAAATGCAATAAGAACAATACCTATGTGAATGTATACTTGTAATTAAATGTAAGGGATTTTTTAAAAAAAACTTTCCCTTCCAAAAAATCGTATTTCAGTTCCATGGATTTGCTTTAAAACCTGGACCTGAAGGGATCAAATGATCCTCCCGCATTGACAATGAATTTTCAGCCCGTTGGGTTTGCAGCAGGAAGGGACAAACGGAAGCCTTCAACAGCTGGGAACGCACAATAGTGTTGCTTACCTTATTCGCCCCAAACTGAACTCTGGCCTTCCCTTTGCCCAACGTGGCATTGATCTGCATGATGACCGATTCTGTGGAATAGGCGCTGCTCCAACCCTAGAGACATGGGGGAGGGGTCCGTGGGGGAGAGGGTGGTGGTGAAGGGGGTATCCAGAACCAGGGGTATCCACAGAGTCATGGACGCATGGTCTCTGCATTCCAATTTTTTGTTCAGCAACCGTACGGTGACGATAACCCTGGGAAAAGGGACTTGCAACCAGTTCTTGCTCTTACGACGGTCACAGCATCCCCACCCACCCGGAGGCACATGATCAAAATTTGCACACTTGGCAACCGGCATGAGTTTATACAATGGTTGATGCTTC